GTGGATGGAACTAGAGGGTATTATGCTAAGCGAAAGAAGTCGGTCAGAAAAAGACAAATACCATATGATTTTACTCATGTGTGGAATTTAAGAAACAGGTGAACATAGGGGAAGGGAAGGAAAAATAAAATAAGATGAAAACAGGGAGGCAAACCATAAGAAACTCTTAACTATAGGGAACAAATGGAGGATTGCTGGAGGGGAGGTGGGTGGGGGATGGGGTAAGTGGGTGATGGGCATTAAGGAGGGCACTTGTGATGAGTACTGGGTATTATATGTAAGTGATGAATCATTAAATTCTACCTGAAACTAATAATATAGTATATGTTAAATTGAATTTTTAAAAAAATTTTTTAAAAAGCCAAAATAAAAAAAAAAAAAAAGGGAGAGATATACCCAAGAGTGCTATATATTTGGGACGCCTGGGTGGCTCAGTCGGTTAAGTGTCTGCCTTCAGCTCAGGTCCTGATCCCAGGGTCCTGGGATGGAGCCCCGCATTGGGCTCCGTGCTCAGTGGGGAGTCTGCTTCTCCCTCCCCCTGCTCAGGTATGCGCTCTCTCTCTCTCAGCTTCTCTCTCTCTCTGCTTCTCACTTGTCTGCTTCTCAAATAAATAATATCTTTAAAAAAATTTTTTTTAAAGTGCTGTATATTTTAGGGAAAGTGGGAGAAAGCATGTTTCTTTGTGGAAATAAAAGAATATTCCAACATATTTAAGGGGCTAAAATGTGTCTGTGTCAAAATTATCACAGCTATTTCACTTGCTCACCTCACATCATGGAATGAATCCTTTTTCCCTTTGCGATTCAATAAATTCATGAATTTCCCCCCAAAATGGATTCCAGTGAAATCATAGGGAATATCTTAGCATTTCAAAAAAGAATGCAAGTAGGCCGAGGGACTGGCACAGATTCCAGTGGGCAGACTGGCACGGGCTGTGCTGCATGTTAGCTTTTCTTACCTCTGTCCACACTGTCCCCAGCTCAGCTTTAGGTTTTTCCATTTAATCAAGGTCTTGGGATGCACCTTAATCTGAAATAAGCATCTCTTCTGACAGTCTTACAGTTGCCTTCTTTGTAACAGCCTGAGCTCTGTTTAGCTGTGGCCGAGAATCTTTGTACCCTGATCTGTATGGTGGCCCCGGGCCTGTGCTAGAGCAGTACCTCGAGTGGTGCTGTCTCCCCTCTTCTTCCTAACCGACTAACTTACATCTCTAGTCGGCCAACTGCACATTGATAGTGGCCAACATCTTTAAACTGACACATCCTAGCAGCCTTTGAATTTGATCTCACGATCAAGGAACTCTGACTTAACATGCTTCTCACCTGCACATAAGCCCTTTTGTGGGCATAGAAGCTAAATCATGTGGTTCCCTCTGTGTTAGGCATACAGGTTCGTTGCTTTACCTTTAGATCTATGATAGTCACAGGCTTTGAGAATCTTGGCTGGCTCTTCTCAACCCTTTGTGCTTGCCTGCATCGTGACGTAGGCACCTGCCACATTTCTTCAGTTTCGGCTGGAAAGGTCATCTTGCTACACTGGCCAGAAAGGCTACACTGGCCAGAAAGACTACACTGCTCCCATCTGGTGGCAGTTCTCTCAGACTGCTGCATCGTCAGCCTGCTTCTGCAAGGACTGCCCTGTCCTTCAGTGGTTCCATGCATCACAGAACTGTAGAAGTGGCCCTTCCCGGCTCGTGTTCTACAGCACTGTCGGATGTCTCCTTAGTATCTAAAGGGGCTGTTACGCAGGCTTTCTCTAAGATGGGTAAAGTGGAAAGAACATCGTTTGGACAGTCAGCAGAGTGACAGGTGCTGCATAATTAGCCCTGGGATTCCTAAGCCGCCTCCTTTAATGCTTCTCAGGAGCACTGCTGATACAAAGTCTGTAGTTCTGTGATTTAAAAAAAAAAAAAAAAAATTCAGGAGTGCCTGGGTGGCTCAGTCAGTTGCGCAGCTGCCTTCGGCTTGGGTCATGATCCCGGGGTGCTGGGATCGAGCCCCGCATCGGGCTCCCTGCTCATTGGGGAGCCTGCTTCTCCCTCTCCCTCTGCCTGCTGCTTCCCCTGCTTGTGTTCTCTCTCAAATAAAAATCTTTAAAAATAAATAAATAAATAAATAAAATAAAAATAAAAAATTCAAATACCTGGGGCACCTGGGTGGCTCAGTTGGTTAAGGTCTGCCTTCGGTCATGATCTCAGGGTCCTGGGATCGAGCCCCGCATCGAGCTCCCTGCTTGGCGGGGAGCCTGCTTCTCCCTCTCCCTCTGCCCTGCTTGTGCTCTCTTTCTCTCTCTATCTCAAATAAATAAATAAATAAAATGTTTTTTAAAAAATGTGAATACCTATAAAATGAATACTTGGACTGTTACAAAATAATTATTTTATAATTTATATTGGCATTTCTCATTCTGATTAAAAACAAGACACATCATGAATTTAATAGCTTTTTGGGGAAAAGAAGATTAAATACTACTGCATTCAATGTACATATTTATTATAAGAAAAATTCTGATATCCTAAAAATTCAAATGTAAAAAATATGCATCTTAAAATTGAGATTGTGTGTGTGTGTGTGATAACACCTCTCCTTGTCAATACATGGTAGGGTTTTAAACAAAATTTTTTTTTTTTAAAGATTTTATTTATTTATTTGACAGAGAGAGACACAGCGAGAGAGGGAACACAAGCCAGGGGAGTGGGAGAGGGAGAAGCAGGCTTCCCGTGGAGCAGGGAGCCCGATGTGGGGCTCGATCCCAGGACCCTGGGATCATGACCTGAGCTGAAGGCAGCCGCCTAATGACTGAGCCACCCAGGCGCCCCAGTCTGCTATCTTTAACATAAAGGCTCCTTTGAGTCTTTAATTTCAACAATGGCATCAATTTTTTTTTTCAGATTTTATTTATTTATTTGACAGAGAGAGACACAGAGAGAGACGGGACACAAGCAGAGGGAGTGGGAGAGGGAGAAGCAGGCTTCCCCCTGAGCAGGGAGCCTGATGTGGGGCTCCATCCCAGGACCCTGGGATCATGACCTGAGCCGAAGGCAGACACTTAACGACTGAGCCACCCAGGCGCCCCTAAACAAATTTTTAAAGTAAATTTCTGGAATTAAAATTGACAATTGAGCAGTGTAAGTGGACTGTAAAGTATTACAAGAAAATAGAAAATGTTACTGAGATACAAAGATTCAAGATGACCGTGGAAATTAAAGACTTTATGGCAAATTTAGTGCTCATCTGACTCCTGAAGAAGGACGTTGTGATAGGAAATCTGCAAACATGCCGTCTCTGGTAAACATTATCAAAATGCACACTTGGAACATTTGAGCCCATTAACATTTTTGTAAACACAGAATTATGTGTGTGTTGTATGAAAACATGCAAGAGTGCTTTATGATTGAAGCTCTCTTTGGTTACAAGCTGCAGAAACCTATACAAGCAGACTTGAAAAAGAATGAGAATACACCAGGAAATGGCCATGGACATCAACAGACAGGTGCTCAAGTGCCACTGGGCCTCAGAGGATGTAGAGAGATTCAACAGGACTCAAGACTTCTGCCTCAAGATCTAGAGAGTCACTGCTTTTGCCCTCTATCAGTTTTGCATGTGGCAGCTAGCCCCAGCACTATACCAGGACCTCCGCTCAACCTCCCATACTGGTTACTTCCCTCTGTGTTCCTCTCCATCCAATTAGTGATTACCTGTGTGCAGAGAATAGCCTCGCAACTTTTTTTTTTTTTGCTACCTAGGGTCAGTGCGCAGGATAGTTCAAGCTAAATTATGATGGTGTACAAGCAGGCAGATGGACTAAGTGCCCAGTCTAACTGCTGCTTATCCCAAAGCCTTCAGCTTTGACAGTTTTGCTGCACTTTATCTATCTATAACCCCTGTTAACGGTGGCACTGAACACCTCCTGCAATATTTGGGGAATGAGATGGAAGGAAGGAGTTATAAGAATCTGTGGAATGCTAAGGTGTAACCGATCCAGAGCATTTATGAATTTCTGTTAGAGTTATATAAAATTCTTTTTAATGAATTTTGGTCTTTAAGGGAAAGGTTGATGTGGACATTAAAACATCTGCCCAGTAATTGAGTTATACTTTGTTGGTGTCTGCTATGTCGAGGGAGCACTTTCATACCTATATTTTGTGTCTTCTCAGTAGCCCATGAGGTAGGAATGGCAGGAGGAATCCTCAAGGTCAATTTTTTAAAAAATTTTATTCATTTATTTGACAGAGAGAGACATACAGCGAGAGAGGAAACACAAGCAGGGGGAGCAGGAGAGGGAGAAACAGGCTCCCCGCTGAGCAGGGAACCCAATGCGGGGCTCGATCCCAGAACTTTGGGATCATGACCTGAGCAGATGGTTATCGACTGAGCTACCCAGGCGCCCCCTCAAGGTCAATTGTTAGATCCTAGTTGGCGGGGAGGGCATGAGGAGGGTTGAGAAGGAAGAGAAAGCTTCTTGAATTTGACAACTATTATTATAACAGTTATTAAAATAATTTCCAAGCCTCTCTGGTTAAGTGCTGGATTTAATTTTTTTTTAAAGTTCTTGGTTGAATCTAATCTCTTGGAGCCTCTGTTTTCTTTAGCTAGTAATCGTCTTTAAGGGAAAAATAATACCCAGCCTCACAGGATTATAGTAAGAATTAAATAAGAGCTCAAAGTGCCTAGGACAGTGGTTGGAATGTAGTTCTTTTTTCTTCATCTGTTTGTTCATCTGTTTATTTGTAGGTTCTTTACAAGATAGTTACTATTCTTCTTTCTTCCTGACATAGGTGTTCAGGAACAATTTTTCTGACGCTTGCCACCCAATCGCATAGTAATGTCTGAGTCCCTTGAATCCAAGAGTGCCTTCTAGGCCAGGCCAGCCCTTAGGTCTAGCTGATGATGGCATCAGTCCCATTAACAGTGACAGCACAAAGCTGCAGCCACCATGGTTATCCGACTAACTTTTTGAACACGACTCAAAAGAGCTTGTATGTGTGTTTCCCTCACAGGTGGATTTGCTATCGTGTTTCTGGTGAGGACAAGCAATGGAATGAAATGTGCCTTGAAACGCATGTTTGTCAACAATGAGCATGATCTCCAGGTGTGCAAGAGAGAAATCCAGATAATGGTAAGGCTGCCCCTCAGACTTGGGATTGCTTGTTTAAAATGTTCCCTCTCATAAGAAAGGTTTTGGGGGGTTTGGGGAGGCTTGTTCCTTCCCTGATATGGCAAAGGAGCCTCATCACAAGAAGAAAATGAAGAGGGATGGGGTAGAGCATGCTTCTCCTGTCTTGGTCACCCTTAGCTGGAGGGTTAAGGAGAAAGGAGCATATTGACAGAACTGACCAACTTTTAAGGTCAGAGAAGTGTTTGTGCATCGGGAAAAGTTTATTTCATAACTTCATTCCCAGAACTAACTATGGAGTTTAATCCAGAAACCCTGGCTCTCCAATGAGCTTCCTCTTCTAGCCTTGTCTACTACCAATCCTGGTTTTCATCCCTCTTGAGCTTCTCAGCATTCCGCGAATACACCTTTATATGTTATACATGTAGTTCTTTCCTCCAGAAATGGTTTTTCCCCCCCTTTTTTTTTTTTGGACTAGAAACCTCTTACTCATACATACTCTATGATTCCACTTATAAAAGTCCAAGAACAGGCAAAAGTGATCTATGGTAACAGATCAGAAAGTGGTCATCTGAGTGTGGGAAATTTGACTAGAAGGAGGCATGTGGGAACTTTCTGGGCCATAGAAACGTTCTATATCTTGTTTTGGGTAGTGCTTATACAGGACTATACAAGTGTTAGAACTCAACTGAACACCTTAAGATCTGTGCATTTTATTATATGTTAATTATACCTCACATCTTAAAAACTTTGTTTTCACAATTCAGATTCATACTGTGTTTAAAGAAAGAGTCCCTATCTGTTAGAAGTATGTGCTGAAATATTTATGGATGAAATAACATGATGTCTTAAAGTTAATGAGTGGATTTAGAAGAGAAACAAAATTGGCAAAGGGTTACGATCAAAGCAGAGTGGTGGGTATATGGGAGTTTGTTAGTCTCTTACTTTCACTTCTGTTTGATATTATACATTAAAAAACTTAGTCTTTTTTTTTTTTTTTTTTTAAGAGAGAGAGCAATCAAGTGTGAGTGGGGGGTAGGGGGAGAGGAAGAGGGAGAGAGAGAAAATCTTAAACAGGCTCCACACCCAGTGTGGAGCCCAATGCAGGGCTCGATGTCATGACCCTGAGATCATGATCTGAGCCGAAATCAAGAGTCAGAGGCTTAACGGACTGAGCCACCCAGGCACCCCCTTAAAGAGTCTTATTCCTTTGTGTTTCTACAATACTTTTGTTTACGCCAATTATATTGCTTATCTTGTTATCTTATAAGTAATTTTGCCATCAGAAGGTAAATTTTTTAAAATCGGGAACTTTATATTCCAGCAGACTGCTTAACATGAAGTAAATACAGTTGATCCTTGAACAACACAGAGGTTGGGGTGTTAACTCCTGAACAGTTGAAAATCCTCATATTACTTTCTTTCTTTTTTTTTTTTTTTAAAGATTTTATTTATTTATTTGACAGAGAGAGACACAGCGAGAGAGGGAACACAAGCAGGGGGAGTGGGAGGGGGAGAAGCACGCTTCCCACAGAGCAGGGAGCCCAATGCGGGGCTCGATCCCGGGCTCGATCCCAGGACCCTGGGATCATGACCTGAGCCAAAGGCAGACGCTTAACGACTGAGCCACCCAGGCGCCCCGTAAATCCTCATATTACTTTCAATGCCCCCAAAACTTAACTACTAGTAGCCTGCTATTGACTGCAAGTCTTACTGATAACATAAACAGTCAACACATATTTTGTATGTTATATGCATTATATACCGTATTCTTGAAATAAAGGAAGCTAGAGGAAAGAAAATATTAAGAAAATCATGAGGAGGGATGCCTGGGTGGCTTAGTGGGTTAAGCGTCTAACTCTTAGTCTCAGCTCAGGTCTTGATCTCAGGGCTGTGAGTTCAAGCCCTGTGTGGAGCCTACTTAAAAAAAAGAAAGAAAGAAAGAAAAAAAAAAAAAACATAAGGAAAAAACATTTACAGTACTGTACTGTATTTAAGGAAAAAAGTATGCTCTGGATTCATGCAGTTCAAACTCATGTTGTTCAAGTGTCAACTATACTTTATAGACTTAGGATGAAGTGAATGTATGAATAATGGTAATATCTGATGCAAATATTCACCTAGCGGTAATGATTCCTTTATGCCCTGGATTTTCATGCTTTTGTAAAGAACAAAAAGAGGCCCCCAAAATGGGTGCAGGTGGCATTGTAGGGATTCCACGAGGCTTTGCTTGCCCTGTCCACCCCTAAGTTGCCCTTGCAGGGGCTACTGAGAGTAACTAGCTGTTCTGTAGTTGGGTTAACTGAAAAAGACCTCAGGATTTTAGAGAGCCTGGTACTATAGATTTCAAAAAGCTGAGAAACCATTTGAGAAGGAACCATTTGCTGGGAGGAATAAGTGTTGCTGTCATCATTGCAAAACAGACAAAAAACCCCAAGGCTCCAATACCCAGGGCCACCTGGCTCTGTCCACAAGGCACCAGTGTGTGCTCACGCCTCCGCCACAGGGCTCCGGACAACCAGCCTCACTGCATCTCCCACCAGCAGCCACTGGATTTTCTGGCCGCTTCTCTTTGCCCCCTCCTCCCCTTGTCCCTGCCTTGCTGAGCTCTCACACTCCGTTTCCTGTCTTTGCTTCTGCTGTTTCCTCTGCCTGGAATGCCCTTCGCATTAATTTTCTGGCGTTATGAAAGTAATCCCATTCTTTAACTTTCTCCCACTCATTCAGAAACATTGTTTGAGGGCTGGCTCTGTGCTAGGCGGGTGTGGAACTAGGAAGACACAGGCCCCTTACGAGCTCACACATTAACACACCTGATTGGGAACTCAGTTACATGAGTTCAAGTTCTGGCCCAGCTATGTATTAGCTGTGAAAGATTGTGTTCTGTTTTGAGTTTATATTTTTTCAGAACTTAAATACTCATATAAGCGAACGAAGCTTGTTCCCAAAAACTTCAAGCAAGTCCCTGAGGGGCCCTCCTCTGTCACTGCAAGGTCCCAGAGACAACCACTTTTTGTTGATTCATTTGCTATGTTTCAAAATATCATGCTGATATTGCTAGTTCTTGATTTTTTTCTCAATTTTAGGCATTATATAGTATGGAAAGTAAAAATTTAGCTCTCTTTCATCCCCTGCACGCCCTTCTCCCCAAATACCTGCAATCATGCTCATTTCCCATTCTGCTGCAACAGCAGAAGTTTCTGGCAGTATGTTAGTTACAGTAGTATTAGTTTTTACATGTATGAAAACACTGTTCTTGCAGAATCTTCTGGTGGACTAGGATTACTATTCCTTTTCTGTATAACTCTGTTTTCACTGGAATTAATAATCTTTTTCCATTTTTTGGTCTGTCTTTTCTGTGTACTTTTCAGCAGTTTAACCCCAAACTCTCCCTAGGCTGTAGAAATCATTTTTTCAAAATACTTTTAAATGCATTTATATGTTCTGTTCATTTTATCTTGAAGAGATCTCAATCTCCTAACTCAGTGAAATCTGGTTTGGCTGCTCTCTAGGTCTAGTTTACAGCCTTATCTTGGAATTTCTTAGTCATTCCCTTTGCCTCGCTTTTTTGTTAGATTTCCTGACTCGTTTTTTGTTTTACTTCCTCATTTTGGTGGAGCTTATCCTGTGGTAGCTTCCTTATGTATGGTAGGTAAATTTTTGAGACCTTGCAGGGCTGGAAGTGTCTTTATTTTATGTTCACACATGTGAAACCTTGTGTATAAAATTCTGGCTCAGAAATAATTTCATTCAGATATTTGAAAGCATTGCTATACAGTATTTTAGCTTTCATTGTTGTGGATAGGAAGTCAGAAGTCATTCTAATATCAGCCCTTTGGGTGTGACCCATTATTTTCTCCCTAGAAATTTATCAGTTTCCCCTTTGTTTACAGTGTTCTGAAATATCTTGATGATACACCTTGCTATGTGCATTTATTATTTATTAATAAATGGTGTTCCCATGTAATCTAGAGACTCCTGTCCTTGCATTATGAGGAATTTTAGCTTGTCTCATTTGGTGATTTCCTTTTCTGTCTTCCTTTTGTGTGAAATTGCTGTTATTTTGGATATTGGTCCTCCTGAATTGATTTTCTAATTTTTTGTGTTTTCTCCCCTTGATTTTTCATATCTTTGGGTGTTTTTCCCCCTCTACATTCCAGCAGATTTCCTCAGCTTTATATTCCAGCCACCCTGTTGAATTTTTTATTTGTCAAGCTTTTTAATTTCTAAGACCTTTCTGTTTGTTTTTGTTTCGTTTTGTTTTTAACTTTGATGAAGTCCAGTTTATCTGGTTTTTTTTTGGTTTGGTTTGGTTTTGTTTTTTGTGGAACATGTTTTTGGTGTCATTTCTAAGAACTCTGCCTACCCCTTGATTCTGAAGATTTTGTCTTCTTTTTTCCTAAAAGTTTTATAGTTTTACGTTTTACATTTAAGTCTGTGATCCATTTTGAGTTAGTTTTTATGTAAGGTGTGAAACTTATATTGAGGTTCATTTTTTGCCTATGGGTATCCATTTGCTCCAGCACCCTTTGTTGAAAAGGCTATCTTTCCTCTGTTGAATATGTTTGTCAGAAATCAGTCGGGCATATTTGTGAGGGTCCATCGCCAGACCCTCCTCTGTTCTGTTCCCATTAATCTATATGACTTTCCCTCTACCAAATACCATACAACCTTGATTACTGTAGCTTTATAATAAGTCTGGAAATCAGACTGACTCCTCCTACTTTTTTTTCCCTAAAATTGTTTTACTTATTCCCATTTTTTTTGTCTTTTCACATAAATTTTAGAATAATTTTTGTCTACAGAATGTCTTGCAAGTATCTTGATAGGAGTTCCATTAAACTTGTATATTTATTTGGGGAGAATTGACATCTTTTCTGTTTAGTTTTCCAATAAATGAACATGGTGCTTCTCTCCATTTATTTGTATCTTTGACTTTTTTCATTGACATTAGGTAGACTTTGTACATGTTCTTAGATTTAGACATAGGTTTTTGGTTTTGT